AAGTAATTTTTCATGATTAAAGCATGTAATGTAAACTACGAAATGAAAAGTCCTTTCAGGAATATTGGATTTTATAGATGTTTTAAACAGAACGAAAATATTGATGTAAGCTGAATTGTAAGAACCAATAAAATAATAAATGTTAAAAAGCCGATTTATACTCGAGAAGATCATTAACACATATATATATCTATATATATAATCCTGCCTTAAACATGGCACCTTATCCAATTGCGAAATTATTTGAAACTTGTTCAATCCTCAAAAAAGAAATAGGATCCTGTGGCATTCTTACACCTATCCTAGACAAAAAAAAATAGTTTGAATACGTGCTGTACAATAAACAGAGAGCAAGTTTGTTTCATAGTAAAGCATTAAAATTTTTGTCTGTAAAATTCTAAAAAATATGGCGCAGATGAGGGTACCTTTTTCATAGGCTTTATAAATTGATTAGTAACACAAATCCTCGGAAAAGGAATTTTGTTGAAGATGAACATATTTTAATCCCAGTCATTTTATAAAATTTGTAAAAGACAAATCAGAAAGTGAACCTTCAAATCTTAGGGGGGTGTAGGTATTACTGCAACAGGTAGGTCCCTAACCTCAAAACAGTTACATACGAGCAGACTTTAATTCTCAAATTCACATCTTTGATACCTATTGCTTTTAAAAAAAATTCTAGTTTTCTTTTATTATCTAACTAGTCGGAAGCACAGAGCACCTGCTTCGCTAGGTGCCTACAACTTTCATCGGGAAGTAACGGAAACACATCTTTGGTAAAGGTGGCATTATTGCCTTTTACCAACTTTTTATTCGATTTTGCGCAAAAAGAAAAATTTATGCAAAAAAAATTGAACCGTCTTTGATATTTCGTATTTAGTATTCTAAATAATTATATATGTAGGTATAATTGAAACATATCAGCAAAGATTTCGCTGTAAACACTTGCATCTATGTAGTGATATTTAAAGGAACAGCTGCTGTATCCATTAACTAACTTCATTCAAATTTTGCTTTTGAATTAAAAACGCAAACATACGTGCTAACATCGGAAATAGACATCATTGCCGTTTATAAATTTAAAAACGATTAGGTACTACAATTGAAAGTTTTTAACAGCAGTGTACAAGTACCAGATTTACTTCTCACTTATTTATTTTAATGTTTTATTTAAAATATTATCTTGAACAGTCGGCGTTGACCTTAGCATCAGTATTCTTCTGATGATTTGATCATGTTTATCTAATTGTAAGAGATTTTCTTTAAACAACGTAAAGCATCTTCTTGTTTAAAGAAATATTTAAATCTGAAGCGGTGGCTGGAAAAAATAAAGAATTCTTGCGACAGATTAATAACATTGATTTATGTAGAAATCCTCATAAAAAATGATAAAGTATGCATTCGAACGTCTGAAGATAAAAATGCAGGAAACCGTCTCAACAACATTCAACTTACTTTGATTTTAGATATAGTTTAGGTTTCCTTACATGACACCGTGCTCAGCACTCCGAAGTTTTAAAAATATTTTAGAACATCATCCGGCGCGACGAATAAAATACAACTAACAGTTTGCGTCCAAAACTCGATCCTCATGCTGCAAAAACATTCCGGCGTTGGGACACGCCGCGACGCACCGCGTCGTAGTTGCGCTGAACAGAGCATCCCGAATTGCTTGTAAGCTGCTGGGTTTGTAGCTATAGCAACGGCTGGGCGTTTACACCAGCCATCTTTTAGAAAATAACTGAACCCACAGAAAATCACTAATTGGTTTACAGAAGGGACTTTTGTTTTACAAGAATTCACCTGCAGTTTATTTTTACATGTACTAGTACGCTTAAAGTATATTCTAAAACATGAAATCCTAATTAGCAGACAACTAGAGGAACCTATTTAACTTTAGCCTTCCTTGTTGATGCCCAAATCGCTTTTAAATACGATATCATCCTCAGTGAAAACCGAGGCTCTTCTGGAATAGATACGACAATGTTCAGCTAACTCTAAATATCCCTAAAAACCCGTAACTCAAACGTTTTTTAGATTCTCTTCTCGTGTATCTGAAATAAAAGAAAACAGAATATACGTCAGTACCTCAGCATTCAATCCATTTGGCACGATTTAGGCTGATGGTCTGTTCTATTTGTTCTTATAAAAATACGTAGATAATTGCAAGCACTTTTTGATTAATGATTTTCCATGTTCATCACCTGATGACCTCTTTCAGGCCCAGTATTCTTACTTTTTTAAAACATTCTATTCCGTAATCAAGAAAAAATATGCTAGAAAAAGAAAAAATCAGTAAAATATTAATAAATAGGGGACCTTCATCCGGGACCAAAATCCCATGTATGTTCTTATAAAGGCTGATTTTCATCCTTTTCGTTCAGTTTTACCCCCGCCCCCTTCCTCGCCTACTCTGATGTCACGACTATCAGCTGTTGTTAGCCATCTTTGACAGCTGTCATCGTCAGCCATCTTTTAGGGCATCGCTACTTGCCACTGATGCTGCGCTCCTCCTGCTGGTGTTCTATTTTCGAAGGTCCCCTTCGTCTGTTGCTCCCTGATCGTAAAGTGCTTTCTTGCCGCTACGACTCCTGATATTTCCACCCGCAAGCCCTTCAACCGTCGCCTTTCCGTCATCATTACTGACTCCTAAATAGGCCCCATTACCCAGCTATTGTTAGTAGTGGAGTACCACCTGATTATGACGAAGAGGCGACGGCTGAGGTATCGCGAACCATAGCAGCTTTTGATCAAAGAGCAACATACGAAGGGGGTATTTGGAAACAAAAGACGAAGCCCTAAAAGATGACTGATGATGACAACTGTCAAAAATGGTTGACAACAGTTGATAGCCGAGACGTCAGAGTAGACGTGGAAAGAGTAAAATTGAAGGAAAAGTACGATCATGAACCTCCATAAAAAGATACATGAGATTTTGGTTTAAGACAAATGTCCCCTATCTACAAATACTTATCCATACATTGTTAGTTCTCGCTGGTTGAGGCCCTCCACCACCCCCGCATATCCATCGACTACCTACTTTGCGGTCCGCAACAACTTGGATGTATTAGTGAATTCTGAGTTACGTTATCCCTCAGAATGATCTCATCAACTTTAAGAACTGATCACATATTGTGATTTTGTTAACTCATTGGAGCTCTTCTTGAACACAATAATGTTTTAGCCACCCCCAAACTTTCCTAACTTCTTAAATATTCTTGAAGTTCTCAATAACATCTTCATTTGTTCGAAAGAATTTGCTATTAGGTAAAACTAGAAAATCTAGAAAATAAAATATTTAACCTGCGTTACTTTCTCCCTTGTAGCTATTTTGGCCACTGTTATTGTAAGGAATTCGCCAAGCCAGCGATCCCCCCTTCGTTGGTTAAGATCCCCCACCACCCCCGCAACTCTAGACAATTCAAACTCAATCAGAAATAAAAAATGGGAGTTTGAAATTAGTTCCCAAATAATATCACACACCTGTTGGTGATATCTACTGATGATCATGATACATATACTTTAGAAGAATAACACAATTCTAGCTGCTAGGTACTTGTCTGTCTTCCTTTTCTAAAACATTCCAAACGTGTGATTAAAAGTAAATGAAACTGATCATTGAAAACCTTTTCCTGTAGTTCGATAAACGCGAATCTTAGGACTAATCTTCTGTGTTAATACTACCGATAGCACCAACACCGTTATACCCATTCCTTCACGATCACTTATCAGTGAACCCGAAAGGGAAATAAAGCATAAAAATGGAAACCACTAACAAGATAATGCTAGTGGGTTTCATTTTCCATTTACTTGAATACCGCATGTGATAATAATACATATATATGATATTCATTATGGTAACGTACCGCAGAATGTACCCTCCAATTAACCATTTTTGATGTAGAAAACCGAGGAGACTGTTGTCCTAAATATATAACCAACCTACAACGAATCGAGACTTGGGACAACAGAACCCCGACAAAAGTATTTAAGATTTTTTTAAGAGGATGGAGAATTGATGTTTTGGTAGAACAACAAGCACAACAAGTAGACAACAATATGACGAAAAACTTGGAACGCGATTTTTAACGGTTTGTGTGATTATGTTTGGTAGTGTGATGTTATTTCTCTTCTAAAGTTAGAACAGAAAGTGTAAATGAAAAAATAGAAGACAAAGACAATGGACCACGAAAACCTGAAAAAGAAAATGGGTAACAGTGTTAGTATCATCGTTTAAAAGAATATTTGGATGGATGTGAAGCATTTTACTTACCGTTGATGCTGAAACAAGTTCAAAGTTTTAGATTAGTAAAAGGTAAAAGGTTGGTAGTAATGTACTTGCTTTACAACTTACCATGGTGAGGTAATTATTTAATTTGGATTGTAATAAATATACAAATTTATATACTGTATATGTGCAGGTGTGTGTTTGTGTGTCGTTCTTAGGTACTTCGAGTGTGTTTGTGTGTCTGTGAGTGTCTGTGTGTTTCAGAAGGGTAAGATTAGTGACAGTAATGTTTTGGCCGAAATGAGATTTTTAAAATGGAAGATCATTAAAACAAGTTAATTAAGAATTAACTTTGAAATAAAGTCTTGTGTGTCATTAACACGTAATAAATGCTGCCACAGTGGCGGTAATTCAAGTTAAACGAGAACGAGATTAAATCAAAAATTAGTGAGCAGTTGTATGCTCCATGGACGAACGCTTATGATCGACTTATGACCAAATTGCAACAGAAAAAACTAAATAGCAGATTTTAAAAATTGGTTAATTTAAAAATGAGCGAACAAATAAATGATTATTAACAGTTATAATTAAAATATAATTGAACTATCAGAATTTATTTATTATTCGCAACACTGTAGCTTTTTGAGCAATTTTTCACTCTTAAATTTATTCAAATATAACCTATCATCCTCTTAAATTAAAGTAGAATATCTTTGTAAATTGATGTAGTATGTACAATAATCACTTGAAAAAGGTACAGTGTAGCGAAACAATTAATTATGGCATTTCTACTGAATTCTTAAAAACCTACAATTTTCAAAAAGTATAATTATATATTGGTATCCATAATTAATCATTAAACAGGAACAAGATAGTTGCAAAATTAAAAATTGAATTATCTAACTGAAATAAAAAGAAAATATTTTAAATGCCCATCAAAGTTTTAAGTCTTATTCCAACATATTTGCATACTTTTATAATTTTAACTTGGCGCCATCTCTGAACCGATCCGCGAGCCGCCACTGTCATGCCAGAAGGAGGTATAATACACTATACCTTATTAACACTAACATTTAATATTTCTGCAACAAGGTCTTCTTCTTCTTCTACACTGGCTGAAAAAAATATCAAATAGACCCATCGAGTGACAAATAAATGCACATATAAAATAAACATGTAAACATATGTGTAAGTACATGGTGTAGGTGTATTAGGTATGTGGAACACAACACCCTAATGACAGCGTGGACAAAACACCCTGTAGGTAGATAAGTAGGTAGGTATTTTAATGAGATAATCAAAAGTTGTCCATCCTCGAGTATATGTTCAGCAAAAAACGACAAGTACATGTAGTAGTTATATAATACGGTATAAAGGACCTAAACCAGCAGCTAATAATCATAAAACCTAAATAATAAGAATCAAAGTTTGACGTCACAGGCGCCGTGCCTGCATACGTCGGTCCCTAACACGTGAAACGACTAAATTGGATAATGGACATCCAGAGGAGCCCAATAATGCGCTAAGTTACAGTTTGTAACTCACCTTATTGGGCGCAAAAATCAAATTAGCCCCAAAGTAATAAAAATCAAAAATACAAATAGAAATGGAAATATAAAAACTTGCCACTCGGGTCTATTTGAAACAATATTCATTAGTGACTTACTTTGAGGCGTCGGCTAGACCTCAGTAGGGTTCACCGAAACCTTAATCTATCCAGCGTTGGATGTCCACGATCCTCATCCTCTCCGTGATGAGCAGTGTGGGTGGGGGTGGGGGTAGATAGATGCCACACTAGACTGAGAGGTGAATGGAGAGGAGAACTATCGACCATCGACCATACCGTTCCATCACTTTTTATCAAACGTCCGTATCATTGAAAAACACTTGATTAACTTTCGAAAAATGGACACTCAACACACTGACAAAGACCTGAAATATAAAGAAAGAAGCCTCTGTAGACAAATATTATGTATAAAAGAAATTATGAGTGCTGTCAACAAAGTAGTATTATGTATTGATACTAGCTATTTCTTAAGCTTATGTGTACGATGTGTTGCATACCTATTTACAAACAATTCCTTTAAATTTAATTTTTCAAACTTTTTTTAACACAAAGAAAGTGATTAAACAAACTGTGTTCACAATAGTGAATTTCGACCACTCGAAGCAATGGTGCTAACAGTTTCGACTTCACAGAGGGGAAGAACTAGTATGTTAATACTAATGTGCATTGTTATACTTACATATATCAGGGCCTTTCCCTCCGAATGAAAGTAACGTATGAACAATATTGCTGTCTGACTGTTAAAGGGCTGTCTTGCCATTCTAAATGAACAAAAAAACGTTTTAATGAAACGATCAGTTAATTAATTATTATTTTGTGTTACGAACCTTAGTTAGGTCAGTTAGCTTATGAGACATTGACAATTATCTCCTTAATGTTATAATGTTGTAAAGTTTTAGTTTATAAACATTTAAAGGCAGTAATTTAAAATTGGAATGTAAAGTTTCAAAAAAATAATGACAAACAGAAAACATATTTACATTTTACTGATAAAAGATTTGTTGGTTTTTAGAATGTTATTTGAACCCTCCCGAGTCATTCTTATTAAGAGAGAAATTCTATAACTTTTCTGTTCGAAATGACCCAAAAGGGTTGAAACAATGTTGTAGAGACCAATTAACGTTTTACCTTTCTGCCTTATATAAGGAATAGAAGCCACATTGTCAGAAGTCTTACTGCCTTTGGATAAAAGGTCCTTGTCAGTTGAATCCTCCCTAATTGATTTGTGTAGGTTTTGACTATTCCTGTAAAAACACAAAAAACCTATTTTAATAAATATTTCCACTATTTCATATGCTTTTGTTTCATGAAATACAACTGAATTGAAGAGCAGATATGAACAAGAGATGCTCATATAATTGTTAAAATGAGAGTAATTTCATAAAATTCTCTGTTGTACATTATAAGTAGAAAAGATTACTGCAACTGAATATTTGCATCAATTTTTCCCATTCATTGTTAAAATTAACTACTGTACCTCATTCACTAATTATTGTGGATGGAAGCCTCAGCTGATATGCAGGAATCTTAATTCCTTTTCTCTGAAAGAGGTTTTGAAGTTCTTGTCGATTAAATCCATCTAGTTGATTTATGTGCGTATTGGTGTTATGTTGAGGAAGTCTTAGTTTTATAAACTCAAAATTCTAATCCAATTACTGCAAAAATACAGAAAATGTCTTAGGAATCATTTTTATCAAATAGCAAGCAGAAAATTGCCATATTTATGTTTCTGAGAAGTATTCGATTGTTTTGTAGGTACCAAACAGAAATAAATTGTTATTTTGTAAAGTGCTTTATTAGTTGACGTTGAAATGCTCTCTTTTGTTAAGCAATAACCTGTCTACACCTTTTTTATGGTATATGAGTGAATTTGAGAACAATATAACAGAAATACTAGTATTTCGTGTTATTGTTAAAACTACTAATTTTATAAAATATTAACTTCAAATCAGTAAAACAATGATTGAAAGTCCATTTCAAATCATTTTTAATAAGGATTACAAATTAATATTTGCAATTTGGCTGTATTTGTACTGAAAGCATGAAACCACTAAGAAGAGGTCCAAGTATCAAAATTTTTAATTTTCATTTTAATATCAACAAATATATGAAAACAATCCTTGCATTAATGTTAATTTGCGAAAACTAATGAATTTAGTTTGCAAACAATAAAGTATTATTTGTTTTTACCATTTTTAATATTTATCATTGCATAGGTTACATTGTCGAAAGTTTATCTTCAAACATAACGAAAATCATTTCGGGGCGAAATAAAACAATACATACCTCATGTAGTAGACCATTAATAGAATACATTTTGATAAAAATTTTTTAGATTTCAACACTTTTACTATAAGAAATTTCCAAAAATTGCAGAGATAACTTCGGAAAGATAGTTTCCATAAGCGTAGCGTCACTTGAAAGATACATTGTTGACCGGCCAATCAGAGACCAACATTAAACTTGATGTTTTCAGTGCCAACTTTTACGAATGTAGGCGCGAAAATTTTTAAATTTGAATAAACAAAGTTTTTCTCTAGTTAGAAAAACATTTGAAGTTAAATTTTAATAGCAGGTGAAATTGTGACTGTGAAAACAGTCGAAACTGATAATTTATTAATTTAGCTAGCTCAAAATAATATGTTCATGTTTAATTTCCTAATTGTACTATAATGTAATAAAATAATAATCTTCCTAACACATTTTTGTGATGAAAATCTTGCAAAAGACTTAATTTCCCTCTTCTTGGGTAGATTTATGGGGTTGAATGTTCTTGTCAATTTTTACAACGAATTAATACTTAAATACTTATATTTTAACTAAAATCACAAATAATGTATACCTATATTATTTTTTAAGCACCGTTTTTTATTAAGTTAATTAACACCACTTTAAAATATCAATTATTGATTCTGCTAGAATTCATACCTTATATAGTTGAAGATGAGTGGAAGCCTCAATAGGGATGCAAGAAGGTCCTCATTCCTTTGTATCAAAGGAAGTTTAGTCTATATTCAGTTCATTTTAGTCCATTTGTGCTATTGATATTGTGTCGAAAAACTCTTCCTATTAGAAACTTCAATTTCCATCCAATCACTGTGAAACCACAAAAAAAGTCTTAGAAATGAATATAATAAGACAGCAAAGAGAATATTAGTGATAAATTTAAATTTTCATCTTGCTACCTCTGAAATTGTTTCAATTGTTTTTTTGTGGTAAACAAGTGAATTTGAGACAAAATATAACAAAAATGTTCATAATTCATATTTCTATTAGAACTAACGCCTGACTTTTGTTAGCAAAAAGAATGATTAAATGTTTGTTTACCACGACAATTAGAAAAAATGAATGTACAGCCATTGCATGTGTGAAATATTACATGTGCTCGTATTACAAAGATTACGAGGTCCAGTTATCAAAACTTTGAGTTATTACACTTATGTCTGCAGATTCACGTAAAATATTCTTACAGTACTGTTGTTTTACTAACCTAAATGAATTTAGAGACATGTTATACATTATTATATTTGTTGTTTTTTTGCTTTCTTCCACCTTGGCATAGGTACAATAGTTGGTTTAATAAATCACGAAAATACTCGTGGAGCGAAGTAAAACAATACATACCTCATATTGGGGACCTTTAAAAGAGTGCGTTTCGACAAAAATTGTTTAGATCTGTGCCCTTTTTCTATTAAAAATTTGTAAAAATCTTTGAGAATAATCTTTCCACAAAGGAAGCGTCACTTGAAAGGACGAGTCTCGATCATCCAACCACGGAGATGCACGAAATTCACAGCCAACTTAGTTGATGTAGTTGGGCAAATTTAAAATAATTATATTCGTAATATGAATAAACAATTTCAGAATATTTATTCCCATTAACTCCGATAAAATTTGACGGATATCGTTTAAAACTTTGAATAGCTGAACGAATTTTTTACATTTTAAATATTTCCTTAATGCTATATTTTATTTCATTTATGTTCTATACAAGTTATAAATTGTATTTACAAGTTAATTTTATGGCTTAACAAGTTTTATGTACTTTATCAAACAATCACAATTTTAATGTAGTACAGCAAAAGCGGCAACAACAAATATAAAGTTTCAATTCCAAAACGACAAATATATAATATTCGTTTACTAATTACCGTCTTCATACGTATTACTTTATAATAATCGTAAGCAGGAAAGATGGTCTGACCAATAAATATAAAATCAATTACTAGAAACGAAGCTTCTTTCATTAGGGGAAGAAAATTTTGATATTACAACAAGAATTATGAGGGCGATTTTTCTACCGTTTTTTGAAGCAGACATCCAGAATAATTTTGTATTATATTTGCTTACAGCAGAAGATAGCGCAGGGTCGTGTCGCCTTTAATAAAAAGAAGTCACTTCTATGCTCGCGAACGGTTAAATTAGAAATTCGAAAAAGGTTGTTAAAGGGGTATGTTTGGAGCACGGCGTTGTACGGGTGCGAAACATGGACAGTGGGAGCGGCGGAAAAGAAAAGGTTAGAAGCGTTCGAAATGTGGTGTTATAGGCGGATGATGAGGATATCGTGGGTAGAAAAGGTTAGAAATGAAGAGGTATTAGAAAGAATAGGAGAACAGAGGACTCTATGGAAGTCAATAAAAAATAGGCGAGATAGGTTGGTAGGACACCTTCTTAGGCATGAAGGTCTAGTCAGAGACATATTAGAGGCAGAAACAGGAGTTAGGAGGGGTAGAGGTAGACCTAGATTAGATTACTCTTCGCAAATAGTTAAGGATGTGGGTTGTTCTAGTTTTAGGGAAATGCCAAGTTTAGCTCAGGATAGGAAAGAGTGGAGGTACGTGTCCAACCAGTCTTAGGACTGATGACCTTATGATGATGATGATGATATTTGCTTACGTTTTGGCCCCTGCTGTGGGCTTTCTTCAGAGCTACTGTTACAATGTAGAATATTGTAGGAACACTATTTGAAGAAGGCCCAGAGCAAAAGGTAAAGATAACTGTACAAAACAATTCTGGACGTCTGTTTTAAAAAACGGTAGAAAACTCACCCTCAGATATTAAACGACATGTTAAAATGAGATTATCGCCAGTCTAAACCCCGAGTTGGAATAATTCAATTTAGCACAATAAAATGTTCGCATTCTAACAATATTGCACAAATGTAACAATATATAAAATAAATATGCAGTTTAATTCAATATTTATTATACTGGTACTAATTATTAGGTACACAATTATAAAAGTAAATATACAATCTTAATTTATCGCTTAACATTGGGGTAAATTTATATTAGTGGCAAATAAATAGTTAACATTTAACACGATAAAATTTAGAATCATCAACTTTACTTATTTTATACAATGGAACCACCAACACAGGAAGTACCACGAATTTTCTGTGACTAATATTAAATGAAAGTATGGACCCATTTAACATTAAAATGACATACAGACATACATACAACAGAAACAGATTGTCATTGACCTTTATAACCGAACGTTTACATGTCGTGAGAAAAACAATTTCATTTAACAAGCGATAAAGTTGTCATATAATAGATTAAACGCATCCTACTGTTAATGCAGTTTCTTGTTAATTCCAAAATTTATAACAAGTAAATTAAATTATATATATAAGAGTCGAAA